AGTCAAGTTCCTCCACCCCAAACTCACTCATCCATGTCTTTATGGACCTTGCTTTGTGCACTGGTGCGCAGTCGGGGGGGGGGGGGGGCATCCCCAAACTGTTCCCACAAATTTGGGAGCATGAAATTGTCCAAAATGTCTTGGTATGCTGAAGCCTTAAGAGTTCCCTTCACTGGAACAAAGGGGCCAAGCCCAACCCCTGAAAAACAACCCCACACCATAATCCCCCCTCCACCAAACTTTACACTTGGCACAATGCAGTCAGGCAAGTACCGTTCCCCTGGCAACCACCACTATTGATGAAGAGACATTGGGTACATAGGACAAGTGGTGATTGGAGGAAAAGTGAGGAACAGATGTTGGAGAGCATCTGGGACAAACAGCGCTTCATGACCTTTTATTTTAAATAAGAGGGTCATGGATCTTTGGTGAGTGCATTCTGGTGACACAGGAGGTGAAGCACTTTGGGAAGATTCTGTGGCACAGAAACAGTATTTCCATATTAAACAACATACATATGAAATAGCTGCCCAAATACAATTGGTAATAAATGGCATAACTATATAACCATTATACATAAATTCAATAAAATAAATAGATAAAGTCCTTGATATGAAAAATAATTAATACATTGGTGCATGTGCTTCTTCCACAAACAATAGGAGATTCGTGCTCTGTGCTCCCCACCTGTGTGCCCACTAACTCACCAGCTATATTGGAGTTCTGCTGAATCTTGTAGTCCTCCTTGTAGTTCTCCTAGTTTGAATGACGCTGATCATCCTCAGTCATCCCGACATAGTAATATAATGTGGAGTATGTGCATGCAAAGAATGGAGGAAGGCATCCAAATAGTGTGATTCCGTTTATTAAATAAAAATAGATACACATGTTGCACTCACATACAGTATTTCCAGAGTAAAAACAGCATAAACGCCAGCTTGGAAAACAGTACACTGCCTGTGTGTCACTGGTAGTGATGTCACCATGGTCCGTATGCAGGGGCGGACTGACAACTCATGGGGCCCCCGGGCAATAGGGGATCATGGGGCCCCTGTGTCCTTTCCCAAACTCAAAAAAGCCTATGAAAAAGGTACCAGGGGCATCTCATGGGGCCCCCTACTGACCCCGGGCCCTCGAGCAGTGCCCGAGTTTCCATATGGTCAGTCTGCCCCTGTTCGTATTGAACGCGTTTTGCCCCTTCCACTGGGCGTCCTCAGAGGCATAGGGCTGTGGTGATTGGCAGACAAATTTATACACTATAACTCCGCCTACTACACCCGACTGTTGCATTGCCTGGCTGGGTGTGTGGCATCAGCCATCTTGCTACTCTCAATAGGAAACTGAAGGTGATGAGGACCGGAAGGGTGCCCTACGCCATCTTGGTACCTTCATGAGTGTATACCCCGATGTCTGTACGACACATTTGGGTTAAACTGGTAAAAGAAGAAGAAGAAGCCTCACAAGCAGTTAATTCAGTGCACCATTCCCAGTCCTGGCCTTTGCCTGCCCTGTGACTGCTCTGTACTGCGTTATGGAATGTACAGGTGTCACTGAACGGTGGCTCCGTTCTTTATTCTAAAGACCTAGTTTTAGAGCGTTGTCAGGCTAATTTGTTTACCCCAATCTCTCTGATATTGCAGACTGTCACATCTAGAAGAGGAAATTTTATTCTGCTAAAGTGAATCGATCATAGGAATGGGAGACACCTGAATCCTTCCAACGAACCGGAAGTCCAGTCCGCTATTATATTTTATATGAAAAAGTCTTGCGGTTGCCACAAATGTATCCATTTGTATCCCAATAAAAACATAATGTATTTGTATTGCTGTCACCTTATATGGTGTGCTCCCCTGTCTCTATCAAACTGGTTTCTTCTCCCATTCTTTCGTGAGCATTGGTGGCAGCATCCATGGCAGCAACGACCGATTTTTCGTTTATCAGCTGACAATTCGGCCGAAAAACGACCCGTCTATGGCCTGCTTTAGGGCTTGTTCACACTTGACTTCTTCCCAAACGCCCAGGGGCGGACTGACCATTTGGAAACTCGGGCACTGCCCGAGGGCCAGGGATCAGTAGGGGGCCCCATGAGATGCCCCTGGTACCTTTTTCATAGGCTTTTTTGAGTTTGGGGAAGGACACAGGGGCCCCAAGATCCCCTATTGCCCAGGGGCCCCATGAGTTTTCAGTCCGCCCCTGCAAACGCCCCTATAATGTTTGACAGGCATAAGACTCAGTTCACACTAACTTTGTAAGCAGGCATTTTGCAGGCATTTGAGGGGCATTTTTAATGCTCCTCAAATGCCTATGAAAACTATACACATGGCAGCACACAATGCTGTTCACACTGAAGTATTAGCGTCGGGGCAAAATTGACGCCTCATGTCAAGTCAGGAGGAGTTGAATCCTTTCAACACCGCCAATTCAAGTCTACGGTGACGCTCCTCAAACACCTGGCAGGCATTTGTGAGGCGTTTGTGGGGCGTTTGCTGGGCATTTGTGGGGCATTAATACCATTAACTTCATTATAGGAGTCTGTTGTGCAGTTTTAATGCTTTGGAAAACACCTTAAAACTTTGCATAGGACATTTGAGAAGGATTAAAAATGTTCACCAAATGCCTGTCTGTCAAATGCCATAGGGGCGTTTGGGAAGAAGTCAGGTGTGAACAGACCCTTAGACTGGCATTTGGGGAGCGTTTTTAAAGCTCATTAAACACTCCCAAATGCCCTATGCGCGGTTTTGAGGTGTTTCATAGGCGTTTTCCAAGTGTTCAAACCGCATCACAAATGCCTATAATGAAGTTAATGGCATTAACACCTCACAAATGCCTCGCAAACCTCCCGCAAATGCCTGCCAGGCGTTTGAGGAGAGTCACCATAGACTTGAATGGGAGGTGTTGAAAGGCTTCAACTCCTCCTGACTCAACATCAGGCGTGAATTTTGACACAACGCTAACGCTTCAGTGTGAACAGCACTGTGTGCTGCCATGTATATAATATTCATAGGCGTTTGAGGAGACTGTCAGCCTGCTTTAAAACTTACCTTTTCGTGGAGCTCGTGCAGAGATCAGTTAACCCTGTATAGATTGCAAGCCAACGATCCCCTCAGGATGGATCAGATCTGCGGATTGGGGAGGATAATGGATCGGACTCCGATCCATTATGCTCAATCCACAGATCTGATCCATCCTGCGGGGATCATAGGAGGGGGGGTGTCACCAAGTGTTCCAGCACCGGGTGACACCAACCCTAGGGACACCCCTGGTCGGCCATACACAGGTCGAATTCCGAAAGAATTTTCTTTCGAAAATCTTTTCTTATTTATCTTTTTTATTAAAGATTTCACACCATTAGAGGGCCAGAGAAACGGCCATCTTTCGTGCAACCATCGAATTTGAGTGATCGGGTGTGTTGGAAATGTTTTGAAAAACAAACAAATTTCTAATCAATGATGGGAGAATTGCGAGAGAAATATAATCGAAAAAGAAATGAGCATGAGCTGTGACGTGGAAATAAAAGAAAATTGTTGGCCATAAAAATTATTTTCTGTAGCAAAATGAGCTGAAATTGTAGGCACGGTTGGTCGAATTTCAAAATCAATGGTGGCACCACCGGGTTACAAAACGCACAAAATGTAAGATTTTCTAAAGAAAATTCATTCAGAATTCAACCCATATATGGCCTGCATTAACCACTTGCCTACCAGGCACTTATACCCCCTTATTTACCAGGCCAATTTTCAGCTTTCAGCGCTGCCGCACTTTGATTGACAATTGCGAAATTTTGATCATTTGATCATTTTTGATCATTGTTTTCATTTTTTTCTCACAAATAGAGCTTTCTTTTGGCGCTATAAATAAAAAAAGTGCAAAAAATTTGAAAAAAAAAAAAAGTTTCTTTGTTTCTATTATAAAATTTTTCAAACAGGTATTTTTTCTCCTTCACTGATGTGCGTTGATGAGGCAGCACTGATGGGCACTGGTAGGCGGCACTGATGGGCACTGATAGGCAGCACTAAAGGGCACTGATAGGCAGTACTAATGAGGTGGCACGGATAGGCGGCACTGATAGACAGCACTAATGAGGTGTCACGGATAGGCGGCACTAATATGCAGCACTGATAGGCGGCACTGATAGGTGACACTGATGATGGGTACTGATAGACGGCACTGACTGGCATCACTGCTGGGCACTGACTGGCGGCACTGACTGGCACAACCCCTGGGCACTGACTGGTGGCACTGACTGGCAGCACTGCTGGGCTGCACTGGTGGGCACAGGTGGGTGGGCACAGGTGGGTGGCACTGCTGGGCACAGGTAGGTGGCACTTCTGGGCACAGGTGTGTGACACTGCAGAGTGGCACAGGTGGGTGCACTGCTGGGCACAGGTGGGTGCCCTGCTGGGCACAGGTGGGTGATCTGCTGGGCACAGGTGGGCGGAGCTAGTGGGCGCACTGCTGGGCACAGGTGGGCGGAACTTGCGGGTGGCACTGCTGGGCACCGATCATCAGGGCACTGATCATCAGTGCCCTGATGATCGGTGCCGATCCCCGCTCTGACAACTGCCGGTTCTCGGCAGTACTTTCCTCACGATCTGACAGCGTGAGGAAAGTGCAGCCGAGAACCGGCACTTGCATTTCCCTCTGATCAGCGTGTCATTGGACACCGCTGATCACGTGGTAAAAGGCCGCTGTGATTGGCCTTTTACCACATCACGTGATCAGCTGTGTCCGTAGGACACAGCGATCACGGAGATCGCCGGGTGCGCGCCCCTGGGTGCGCAGGAGAGCGCGTTCTGGGAGGCCGTCATATGACGTCCACTCAGAACTGGCCGGCCGCAGTGCAGCCGTCATTCGGCTATCTACGGTCGGCAGGTAGTTAAACAAAAATTTAATTTTTGCTGAGATAGTCCCAAAGGGAAATCACACCCAAAGGGATGCAGACCCTGCTACTTTCCTCATTAGAGCCCTGCAGGTGCAGCAGCTGATTGATAATTATAAAGTCACTCCCATGCAGGGGCGGACTGACAACTCATGGGTCCCCCGAGCAATAGGGGATCATGGGGCCCCTGTGTCCTTGCCCAAACTCAAAAAGCCTATGAAAAAGGTACCAGGTGCATCTCATGGGGCCCTCTACTGACCCTGGGCCCTCGGACAGTGCCCGAGTTTCCAAATGGTCAGTCCGCCACTGCTCCCATACAGATCCATTCTGCACATGCACACAGGCAAACAAACAGATAATTCTTCAGAATAACAAAAAGTAAGAATCTGCAACAAAGTTTGTGAAAATCCTTGCAATGTACATAGAGGGGAATGTTTTTTTAGTGGAGAGTGGAGTTACTATTTAAGTGCATTTTAAAGCAAAACTTTTTTTAGTTTTGGAAAAAAACATGAAAGGGTTAGACCCTCTATCATGTTTTTTTGCTACCTGTGGAGACTCACCCTCTCTATTTGTCCTGATCACTACTGTTACAGAGACAGAGTGAAAATCCAACATTTGGTGTTGTCTCCATAACGAATAGGAGTTTTCTGTCTAATGTACAGGAAGTGAAGGGAAATCTCCCCAATTACGGCACAAAAAACAAAAATCCTTCCGTACTATGTGCAATATTAAAAGAACAAAAAAAAATATATAATAAATAATAATTAAAAAAAAATAGAAACAAAATATACAGTATATATATATATATATATATATATATATATATATACACACACACACACACACATATACAGTGGATATAAAAAGTCTACACACCCCTGTTAAAATGTCAGGTTTCTGTGATGTAAAAAAATGAGACAAAGATAAATCATTTCAGAACATTTTCCACCTTTAATGTGACCTATAAACTGTACAACTCAATTGAAAAACAAACTGAAATCTTTAAGGGGGGGAGAGTAAACATAAAAAACTAAAATAATGTGGTTGCATAAGTGTGCACACCCACTTATAACTGGGGATGTAGCTGTGTTCAGAATTAAGCAATCACATTCAAAATCATGGTAAATAGGAGTCAGTACACACCCGCCATCATTTAAAGTGCTTCCAAAGCATCAGAGGGATCCCATTTTTAAAAGGTATCAGTCAGGAGAAGGGTACAAAATAATTTCCAAGGCATTAGATATACACAGTGGAGACAGTCATCATCAAGTGGAGAAAATATGGCCCAACAGTGACATTACCAAGAACTGGACGTCCCTCCAAAATTGCTGAAAAGACAAGAAGAAAACTGATCTGGGAGCAGGGGCAGACTGACAACTCATGGGGCCCCTTGGCAATAGGGGATCATGGGGCCCCTGTGTCCTTGCCCAAACTCAAAAAAGCCTATGAAAAAAAGGTACCAGAGGCATCTCATGGGGCCCCCTACTGACCCCGGGCCCTCGGGCAGTGCTTGAGTTTCCAAATGGTCAGTCCGCTCCTGTCTGGGAGGCTGCCAAGAGGCTGCAGAATATCTGGAAAGTACTGGCTGTGTGGTACATGTGACAACAATCTCCCGTATTCTTCATATGTCTGGGCTATGGGGTAGAATGGCAAGACGGAAGACTTTCCTTACAAATAAAAACATCCAAGCCCGGATACATGTTTTAAAAACACATCTGAAGTCTCTCTAAAGCATGTGTGAAAATGTGTTATAGTCTGATGAAACCAAGGTTGAACTTTTTGACCATAATTCCAAAAGATATGTTTGGAGCAAAAACAACACTGCACATCACCAAAAGAACACCACACCCACAGTGAAGCATGGTGGTGGCAGTATCATGCTTTGGAGCTGTTTTTCTTCAGCTGGAACTGGGGCCTTAGTCAAGGTAGATGGAATTATGAACAGTTTCAAATACCAGTCAATATTGGCACAAAACCTTCAGACTTCTGCTAGAAAGCTGAACATGAAGACGAACTTCATCTTTCAGCATGACAATGATCCAAAGAATACATCCAAATCAACAAAGAAATGGCTTCACCAGAAGAAGATTCAAGTTTTGGAATGGCCCAGCCAGAGCCCAGACCTGAATCCAATCGAACATCTGTGGGGTGATCTGAAGAGGGCTGTGCACAGGAGATGCCCTCGTAATCTGATAGATTTGGAGTGTTTGTGCCAGGAAGAGCGGGCAAATATTGCCAAGTCAAGATGTGCCATGCTGATAGACTCCTCCCCAAAAAGACTGAGTGCTGGAATCACATCAAAAGGTGCTTCAACAAAGTACTGGTTTAAGGGTGTGCACACTTATGCAACCATATTATTTTAGCTTTTTATTTTTACTTCCCTCCACCTAAAAGATTTCAGTTTGTTGTTCAACAGTTTATAGGTCACATTAAAGGTGGAAAAAGTGTCTCTACCTGTATAAGATTAGAAACGCTAAACGCATAAAAATGTGTCTCAATTAAACCTGCCTTAGGCTAGGTTTACACCTATGCAGGTTGCATTTGAGCCGTTTCTGCATTGCGTTTTTGCCGCATTTTTGATACGTTTTTCTGGGGGGGTTTTTTCATTTTTAAAATTTTTTTTTTTTGCTAGGCAGATTTGAAACACAAAACGCATCATACATGTTTTTTTTGCAGTGTTTCCATTGAAATCTATAGAAACAAAAATGCAACTTTTTGCATTCAAAAACGTCACTGACCCTTTCCAAAAAACACACCGGGTGAAAACGCACAGTTGTGAACATGTCTCATAGGAAATCATGTTAAATTGACTGTACTGCGCTTCTGCAAAACTCTTCAGAAAACGCTTAGGTGTGAACCTAGGGTTAGGGGCACTTTCACATGAGTGGCAATCTTTACAGCCCTCCGAAAAGTGATTCGCGGTGGATTGCGGTAGAGCAGCGGCTTCCTGCTGCCAAAAGTTTTTTATTTCAATGCAAAGGGAGATTTTGTATTGAAACAAGGAGTCAAGCATTCGGCTCTTGGTTGTAGTGCAGTCCCAATTGACCTCAGTGGGCAAGTTTAGGGGCCCACACACACAACGACGCACAAAAAAATGTGCCTGTGGTCAGTTGCGCTTCCTCGTGTTTTTATGCCTGTTGACGTGCCTTTTTGTGCATGTTTTTCTGCATAGTTCTTTTTTTTCAAAGACATGTTTCCTCTGACTTATTTTTGGTTGGTAAGAGGTGCATCTGTGTGCATTAACACTCGTTTCTGTGCATTGCAGTGCAATAATATGCAAGCTTGCTGCATAAAATCGCAAAACTATGTAACGCAGAAAAACCACAGCATTCTGGTGTGAACATGACATATAGAAAATTATTGTTTTCTATGTGTTATTGCAGTTACTTGCATTTTTTCATGAGGAGAAATGCAGGTAACTGCTCATAGTGTGAATGAGCCCTAACAGGTGGTGCTTGACAAGCTGTGTTAACCTCCCTGGTAGTATTCCCGAGCAGGGGCGGACTGACCATTCGAGCACTCGGGCACTGCCCGAGGGCCCCCAGGGTCAGTAGGGGGCCCCATGAAATGCCCCTGGTACCTTTTATAGGCTTTTTTGGGTGTGTTTTGAGTGTGGGCAAGGACACAGGGGCCCCATGATCCCCTATTGCCCGGGGGCCCCATGAGTTGTCAGTCCGCCCCTGTTCCCGAGTGTAGCTCGGGATAAAATTTCAGTCCCAAGAGCTGTAACCTCGAGCTACACTCGGGCTTACCATGTGGCGTTACTCAGGGAGTCCCTGCAGCACTTACCTTGTCCTTCGCTCCCACGATGTGTCCCCTGCAGCGTCCCCGGCCATCTCCTCCGGCCGATACCGGCATCCGGCATCCGGCTTCCGTGTTCCTGTCCCTGTGACGTCGGGACGTACGGGCGCCGGAACCGGCGGCAAATTTAAAAATTAAAAAAAATGCCATTTTTTTGTAAACGAATATTACATAGTAAAACATTGCTGTTTCAAACCATTTCACATACATTTTGTCCCTACTGTTTTGTCCTGTACCCTGCCTGCATTTTTACTCTTCTTTCTGCCTGGAAACTTAAAAAAGTCCATGGCGTCAAAAAAGCGTCCCTTTAGGTCAAGTCCCTTTAGCGATAGTAAATTCGAACCACTTGCAGAATCGAGTGATAATGATTAGTGGGGAAATTCCTCATCAGACACTGAAAACGATTTTGCGACTTTGCTCAGCGATGTGTGAACTTGGCGCTCTATTTCAAATTTCAGTGTTTTTGGTTTGATTATATTATTGAATTAAATGTATTAATATTATTTTTTATGATTATTTATTAAATTATAATTTATGATTTTGTGTTTCAAGTTTTATCCTACCCGGGATGTTTACTAGACTCTTGTTCGGACAGATTTCAGTGAGTTATTCCTAAAAATTACAGCCTACAATAAAAAAAATACATATTTCCATGCAAAATAATGTACCGTTTTCAGCACCAAAAATCTGAAATAATCATACCACCAGGGAGGTTATGATTTACCTCAGCATGTGTACCACGCCCTTTGGTTGCCATGGCAGGCTTTAGGTGGGTGGTAAAAATGTGAATCAACATCCTGTTTTACCACTCTTTTGCCAGCCATGTGAAAGGGCTTTAAACATGAACATATAAATCCAGAGAAAGCAATCTGGGAGACATAAAAGTTGTTAATACTTCTCACGTCTCCTGCATTTAGAAAAGCTAAATTCAGGCGTGGCAATGTGCACGAGGCCTCAGCCTCTAGATTTGCAGTTGCCATGGTGCTGAACATGTGATCAGCAATGACGGCAGCCATTTTGGGGCTTAAAGGTTTGGTTGAGAGCCGAAATAAGCACAGCGGCAAGTGTGACCGTTCGCTCCAGAGACTGGCCTGAGCATGGCATTGACTGCAGACAACATCCTCGGTATGATTGATTGTGGATTTCATACCATTTATTGAACATTTCATTTTTGGGGGGAAACAGTTATATTGGTGGGTTTAGTTCTTCTTTAAACCTTTCTATTAGATCAGTGTGAATGCTGACCAGACACCGGTCACTCCGTCCACAGTCACATGGCAGCGTACCGGGTAGCCATTCCCAATTGCAAGAATATACTTTATTGCTGCGTTTTCAATTTTTATAGGCCCAAGTTTCAGTATTTATGATGTCCCCTGATTTACTTAGGCCTCGTTTACACAGGTGGGCAAGGGCTGGTAACAGTAGGTGGTTGAGCCATGGCTTTACCACCTGACCACCAAGCCGTAAGTTGCTATGTTGGCACATGTCACCGTGGTTGCAGTACCAAAAAGCTGTTGCGTTT